TACTACTACTACTACTCTCTCTCTCTCTCTCTCTCTCTCTCTCTCTCTCTCTCTCTCTCTCTCTCTCTCTCTCTCGCTCGCTCGCTCGCTAATTAAGCGTCTGCTGGGTTCGACAGGCGCGATAAATTACGTGTTTATATAAGATAGCTAAAAATTTGGCACTTGAACATTGCGTGTCCGCGCTAATCGTTTATTTCTAATATTTCTTGAGTAATTCACGCTGCCATGAAGGAAGTCTGCGGCAGTGAATCGCGAGAAATAAAACTCCGCCACTCCACGCATTCTACCCCCCCCCCCTCTAAGCATCCCGTAATCGTCCTCGTTTTCTGTTTTTTTTCCCCCCTTTTTTGTATTCGTATTCTTGTTATTTCTTCTTTTTTCTCTTTTTGTTTCCAGATTTCGAACTGATTCGTGTTGTGGATTAAGGAGCTATATCTAATGAGAAATACACTCGACGACAGATAGATTTAAAGATTCAAACGATATTCAAGTATATATCGAGGAGACTTTCACATTTTTCTTAGGCACGTTTGGAAAATTTTTCGATCGATCGGGAAATAATTAAAAGAGAAGAGAAGAAATTGATTAAACCTAAACTCTTCGCGTCGATAAATTCATTTAAATGGGTGTGAAATTTAGAAATTCTCGCAGATACGTTTCTCATTAGCTCCTCGATTATTCATTTCGCGCGACGACGATTACAATTTTTCTCAATTTTCATCCCTGTTCAGTTTTATCCGCCTTGCACGCCACGTTTCGCCGTAGTTTAATTCAATCTCCCCGCAATCTATAGAGAATATACGTGTATGCGTTACATATATTTATATTATTTATACGTGTATACAGGCTCAGCCGAAATGCTTGCGACGAATAGCAATATGGAAAGTAGGTCTTTTGCTTTTTCAACATTTTGAATTCAAAATATAAATTTGTAATGTATTGATCGATAAAATATTTTGCTAGGAATAATTGTATTGCTTGAAATTATTTTTCATTGCTTGTGTACCGCCTCGATATATCACAAAACTTGATTCAAAATTTCTCACGTAATCAAACTTCACTTCTTAATTGTTTCATTTTTGAAATAGAGTAAAGTAATTACGAGTGTGAAGCTTAACGATACTTCCCGAAAGAAAAAAGGAATGGCTTTACTAACTTTTTAAATATTCACAAAACAGTAGAGTTTCAGAAAATTACTTCAACGAACAGAAATTTTAATTTAACTTAACTTACTCCCTTAAACTGCTCGTTGCCAAACACGTGTACAGAGTAACGCAACGTTTCTATATAAATTTCCCCCTTTTCACAACTGCTTACTGAATGTTCTGTATATAACAAGTTTAACAAGCCTCTCGTTTACACTTCATTTCGGCTGACCTGCCACTTCCTGCGTGTAAAGAATGCGGTCTAATGAAAAACAAACGGGGACAAAGAGGCGTCGATCTTTCGAGTGTCCTCGCGAAATTCGCGCGATTAAATTTTTCTTACTAATTTATACAAAGCGTAATTACACCAACTTCTCGCTCAAAACTCTTCTCTTCTATCTTCTTCGACCTCTCCCCTAAGCGTTTTCTACTCTCTAGCCTCGAGACTAATAACGTAACAATCGAAGCGCGCGTTTAATTTACAAGAAGAAGAAAAAAATTTTTCTTCGCTTCGATTCGATCGAACGAATTCCTTTCCTCTCGTATTCTTTTTTTTTTTTTCTTCTATTTTTCGTTTACTCGCAAAAATGAATCACACGAACACGAGCATATCTCGATTCTAATTTTGATTCTTCATCGATCACAGTATTCTCTTTCTTTTTTTGACACATGTTGAGGGTCGAATTCTCGAGAGTTGATATTCTCCTTCTAAATTCAACGAGATTAATTGAATTACAACTCGCGTGTATTCGACTATTTTTTTTCACACAGTGAATTAACGATTTTGTTATAAGATATTCGCGGTGAAAATTATTTATTCGATTGAAACTGACGAATTAATTGTTAACTAACTGTGTGGTTTTTTTAATATTTGCGAAGAACGCGATTTCTCTGAATATTTCCGTAAGCTTGGTTGATGACGATCGATATTCATCATACGTGATAAATTCCTCCTCGTTTCATATTCCTTTCTTCCCTGTTTCGATATATCGAATTGTGTTATTCACGAATTACCATGTGAAAGAAGAAGTCGAGCACGTAGAATATTTCTCTAGTAATGGAGGATGTTCAACAAAGTTTAATATCGTGCAGAGTTTATCTGGAAGAAATATTCTCTAAGAGAGAGTTTTTCAATCAACTGTTAGCATTAGGTTTTTATTTTTTACTTTTTCCGTTGGATACTCTCGAAAGTTTCACCCTCAAATGTATTCTAATAACATTAATCGGCCAATCGAGAAAACCCTGGACTCCGTGTGTTTAACTCTCTTGGAAACAGCTGGTCAGAGAAGCGAGGGATTTGTTTTGCCATTTGTTTCCTTCAAGGCGAGGAAACAAGGAAAAGATATTAAATTGTTGCATATGAAATGAGATCGCAATTTCGCGTGTATATAAATAGAATTGAATTAATTGAATTCAAAATTTATTGGCTGAATGTTAATACTCGAAACTGACTAAATACAATGTTGTTGCAATGTATAAAATTATTCTATCATAAAATGGAATATTATATAATAATTTAAAACGTTAAACTCAAATGTAAATTTCTTTTGTACGAAATTACAGATTCGAGATAAACAACGAATGGTTGATAATTGATAGACAATTTCATCTGCAACAACCTAACCTTAAAAGAAAAAAAAAAAAGAAAAAAAGAAAAAAAAAAGAAAACAGAAGAACGGGGAAGAAAGAGAAAGAAATTCGTCTCGCGTGCCTTTGCATTCGTCTTTGTTTCTCACGTGTCTTGTCAACTACTTCTTTGGAGACTAATCTGCGGAAGACTTTGACGTGCTATAAGTAAGTATAATAGACCTTACACGTTAAAAATTACGTTCTGACTACAGTCGTTTGTTATTCTTCGTTTTTTTTTTTTTCTCTCCACTTTTTCTTTTTTTAAATCTCGGCTAAATAGTAAATCACACCTCGTTATTAAGATCGATTTAATTCTCGCCTAGATACATTTATCGTTATCGTTATCGTCGCGTAGTAGTAGTCGTTAGAGGTAGGTATCGTACATCGAGAGAGAGAAGAAAAAATTGTTCGTTTTTTTTATTCACAACAAACGTCAACAACAACGTTTTTCGTAATCTTTTTTTTCTTTTTTCTTTTTTTTAACCCGCTTCGAAGTTTCCGAGGATGGGATTGTCTTTGTGACACTTAAACGATGAGGTGTCTCGATGAGCAATCTTAGTTTTATTTCTACCGGTTTACCTTAATAAGTTCGCTCAAAACGCTTGGATTAATTTTACGAGTCGAGTAAAAGACTACAAAGTTTGAGGGAGAAAGTTTCGAAGACCTCGAGTCGACAAAATTTCTTGCTTCCTTTTATACGTATATATATATATATATATAATATTTATATTTTTCTTTCTTCCTCTTGTTCTTCTTCTTCTTCTTCCTCTTCTTCTTGGGTTTCGTATGTCGTAGAAATATCGAAAGGGGCTACTCGTCGACTCTCGCGTGTCTTGCGTTCGACGTCTGACGATTTCGAGTGTTGACGGTAATTGAACCATTGTTCGGCAGAGGGCGTTTCTTTCGAACGATCGGGATTGGTCTTTGAAGGATATTTTCCGAGTTAAGGCAACGTTGACGGAGAAATGTGCTTGACTCTTTCTGGTGGGTGACATCTTTTATCCCGAGGTTTAAACCGATTTTCTTGGAGTAAAAAACGAATCAACGAGATAACAAAATTGATTGAGAAGAATATACATTTTCATCATTTGTATAATACCCCTTTTTTTTTTTTCTTTTTACTCTTCATCTACTCGAGGTAATATTCAAATTTGAATTAAAAAAGGATAATACGTAAGGGATAGATTATTTGAATCGAAATTAAGGAAAAATTGATATTAAAGAATAGGATCATAGAGTAGATAGTTATCAGATAGATAATAAATTTTGAAATGGCAGTTGTATAGAGATATAATCGTTTTACAAATTTTAATTAATTGAAAGTTAAATGCAAATACGTAACAATTTTATCTTAAAAAAGAAGAAGAAATATTGAAACTCAAGTGAGTATATTAAAAATTTAATCACGTATTATTTATATTGTATATTTGAACAGCCAGTAAAAAATCGTATATATATATATATATCTATGAATTATCGACGAATTAGCCCCTTTCCAAATTTAACCTTTTTATAATTCGATTTCGATTCTAAATTCGCGATCTTATTTTTTTCTCGACATTTATTTATTTATTTATTTACTTCTCCCTCGAATAGCAATCGTTCAAATTTATTTCGAACGGGACACTCGAAAAATCGTATGCCTGACCCACGTCCGAATACACTTTAATCGCATCACCCTGTACATATGCGCTACTACGATCCTAATAGCGTACCAACCTTTAATGCGTTTTATTTAATTTTTTTTCTTTTATTTAAATTTCTCGTTAACCATGTTTTATTATTATTATTATTATTATTATTATTATTATTATTATTATTATTATTATTATTCGTTATTGGAAACGATTCTTCATAGAAGTCGCCTTAATCGTACGTTTAAACAACGTTTCGTTTCGGAGAGAGAAAAAAAAAAAAATTTTTTTTCAACATTTCGTACAGGCGGATAATTAATAATAATTAATATCGTTACCACTATTTATTTTATTCTATAATTATTATTGATTTATTATTAATTATTTGTTAGTACTAATTTTATCATTTAATATCATCATTGTTTCACTCCTTTTTCTCGTCAATTTTATCGTTATTATTATTAATTTTAATTATCGTAAGATATTAATAATTTATAATGACAACCCCGCGTGTGTGACAAGCTGAATTTAATATACAGAATATTATATATTCTTTTTTTTCTCCTTCTTCTTCTTCTTCTTCTTCTTCTTTTTCTTCTTCTTCCTTTTTTTTTTTAATTAAAGGCGCAAGTCGCGTTAATTTCGCTTCTTCGTTTCCTTCGTTTCCTACCCCTTCTCTCCCCGTTTACACTTTCATTCATTTTCTCATTTCATTTCGTTTAAACAGAAATCTCATCGCGCTCTGATGGAAGGCTGCCATTTTCAGACATTCGAGGACGTCACTGTTTTTGTAAAAAAAAAAAAAAAACTCGTTTCAATTTATAATAGCATCAATCACGATTCCACAACGTAAAATCGCTCAAAAATCGCGTTTGTTGTTATCTTTTTTATTAAAGGAAAAAGAATCGATTATTTTAGAAAAAAGAAAAACCTTTGT